AACTCACAGAGATCCGCCTGGCTCTGCCTCCCGAGTGCTGGGATTAAAGGCGTGCGCCACCACCGCCCGGCAAATTTTTTTTTTTTTTTTTTTTTTTTTAAAGGTGGAGAGCACTTCAGGAAGATACCCAACATAGACCTCTGGCCTTTACATGAATGCACGGACATGTTCATGTACACCTGCATGAACATGCACACACACAATACCCCACACAAAAAGGAAGAAAAAAAATTAATCAAAACTATTTATCTTAGCTCCATTTCAAATGTGTGGGCTCACCTCTACACACCGTCAGTACTAGAATCCTTGGTTTTACCTAACGCAGATGTCCAGTGATGTTCCACACTGATAACCCACATTCCTAATGTTGTTTTTCTAAATTTCTGAAAGCAGGTAGCCTAGGCCCTAAGAGTATAACCTCCATCAAGAAGCTGCTGTCTCAAGCCAGATATTGTAACCATGCCTATAATCCTAGCACTTGGGTAGAAGAATCAAGAAGTTCAGGCTAACCTTGGCTGCTAGAGCCCGTCTCAAAACTAACAGACAGACAGACAGACAGAAAGCAGCATCGTGCTGCTTCAGGAGAAAGAGCACAGTTTCGAAGGGTAGCACATGGTGCTTCACGGAAGGCACAGTTGACATTGTTACTATCCAGGAATTAAAGACAGTGGTGCTGCAGCAGCTGGGTCAGTTAAACTAGGCTTGACCAGTGGACGGCACCCAGATAGCTGAAGGCTGGGTAAGGGCAGGGACGGCGATTTAGACCCGAGGAACAGCATGGGAACAAGTGGGAATGGGGAGTGAAGTGGCTGTGGAGAGTCTGACCACAGGGAGAGGGGAGATGCACATTTGGAAAAGCCAACAGCACCAGCTCAGCTTGTACCCGCTCCAACTTCCAATTCCTGATTTAAATGTCAAAGAGTCGATCTTCTGTGCAAGAGATGGGAATTAAATATGTAGAAACTGTCCCAGCTTGATTTGAGAATATTATGAACCAAGTATGTGTCTTGAGAACTTTTCAAAGGAGTCTTTTTTTTTTTTTTTTCCAATTTTAATTTCTATGTGCATAGTTCCCCTGGAACTGGAGTTACAGATAGTTGTGACCTGCCATGTGGGTGCTGAGAATTGAACCCCGGTCCTTTGGAAGGCAGCCAATGTTCTTAACCGCTGTACCATCTCTCCAGCCCCTCAAAAGATCTTTGAAGGAAATTAAAATCTGCCTCTGGTTTTCAGCATGCCTTGTCCATCACATGAACACTGTGAATGCTTACTTACTGTTTTTGTTTTGTGAGGCTGAGGATTGTGCATGCTAGTCAGGCGCCTACCACTAAGTACATCCCCAGCCCCAAATGTTTGGCTTTTTAAATACTCTATCAATACTTAGGTGTGAACAGAGTTGTAACACTTGAGCATTCATGGGGTGTCCTCTTGGGCTATCTGCCCTTCATTGGGCTCTTGCTACTGAAAATATACCCACAGGATCCCCCTCTGTGATCCAGGTATTTAGTATGGCCTTCCTGTTTCTTTCCAGGGGAAGAAGGTGGATGGCTCTGTAAATGCCTATGCCATAAACGTGTCTCAGAAGAGGAAATACAGGTATGCATGGCCCCTGTGCTAGACCTCACATTAGTTTCACATTTGGAAGAGAACTTTGTTACAGGATAATTGTGTATGTTTTGGAAATGTTGAAGTTTTCCATACTGTTTGCACACGTATGCTAGCTTGCTCACTGTGTGTGTGTGTGTGTGTGTGTGTGTGTGTGTGTGTGTGTGTGTGTGTGTCCATCCTCGTTTTTTGAGACATATAGCTAAAGATAACTATGATCCAGTCCTTGGGCCTCCACCACCCAAATGTTGGGATTACAAACCTGTGCCACCAAGACTGGTGCCTGTGAACTGTACTGGCTTTGTTGTTTGGATTCTGATGTATTACAATTTCCTTCCCGTATTCATGTGACCAATAGCTCTGCCTGTTGCTGCCGTGAGGCAGGGTCTCTGAACCAGAAGCTCATAGCTGGCTGGACTGCTCTGGGAGCTCTCTGCCCTCCCACTGCTGGGGTTATAGGCACACACAGCATGCCAAGCTTTTTTCATTTTTCATGCTTGGAAGTCAAACGCTCTTACCTCTTACCTTATACTGTCCCTCAGCCCTGCTTTTTGAGAACAGGGTCTCTGTGTATCCCAAGCTGGGCTTGAACTTGCAATCCTTGTATCTCCACCCTTGCAGTAGTGATGATTACAGGCACATACCATCACACCCAGGTGAAACATTTTGAAAGTTGTTAGTTTGAATTTTGAAGTATGGTTTTATTATATTTTTAAAATAAGAGTCCACAGTTTTAAAAAATACTTTTCTGTTTTTATCATAGGCAGTACATGAATCGAAAAGGCGGATTCAACAGACCCCTGGATTTTATTGCATGAGACTTGAGGTGTTGGAGGATTCCCCCTCATCTGGGTCAGAGAGTATTTTATATTTTGTATTTAATCCACCTCCAAACAGGATCTTGGTTCTTCCTTCCTATAAAGTAAGAACGTCTTATTTATGGCCCCCAGTGTACTTCCTTTCCTCAGGAGGGAGGTGACACTTTTTAAGGTGGTGACCTTGTGGTGGCTACAGCCCGTTTGTCTTGTTCCTTTGAACCTGTGTGTGCTTTCTTTTTGGATGCTTGTTAGGAGTTCTTAAAAAATGAAAGTAACTTAGATATGAGTTTCTCCAATAAAACTGTATTTCTACCCATTTTATATTTATTTGACAAATATCTTTATTATTAAAGAGTCTCCTAGACATTTTCTTTTTCCACACATAGATCTCTTTTGTTTTCAGGTAAGGTCTTGTTCTGTAATCCAGGCTAGCCTTGAAATTGGGAGAGTCCTGCCTCCATCCCTTGTGGCTGGGATTATAGATGTGTCACCATGCCAGCTTAGACTTAGTCATTTTGATTCTTGGTAGTTTAAAAGCCAGAAGAAGGAAAAATTATAGCTTTGGATTTTTGTGTATTCTTCATTTCTCCCCAAAATATCATTTACTGTGTTCCCTCAGAAACAAAAGTGATACATGTTTGCTTTAAAAATACTTAGGAGAACCAGACAGCAGAAGAAAAGCCAAATTTCCCTGCAATCTACTCCAGAAACATTTTGTTGTGTGTCTTTTCAGGCTCCTATGGAAGTGTATTTCTTATCCCACCCATGGAATAATATGTAAAAGGTACATATAGCCTCCTCTAACCCTTGCCTCATTTACTATGAATGTTTTACGTCTGTATTGTTTGGAGACAGTGGCATCCTGTGGCTTTTTAGTTGTATCATAGTTGACCAGCCTTTTCTGATGCCTTGAGAAGGGTATCTAGTAGCAGGTTTCACGTCCATTAGAGACAGCCCATAACTGCATAGACACTCTGTATGTGTCTGCTTCAGATGGGAGTCGGCTGTGCCTCTGCTCTTAGCAGAGCCTTCATTGGGCAGTGCATGTAAAGTCCCTCTATTTTATTGCAGATGGACTGTGGTTATTTCAGCCTCCATTGATGTTAGCATTCAGATTATTTCCAATTTTTTGCAATTTTGAACAGTTCTGTAATTACACCTGTGTTTCATGATTTTGTATTTCTTTGGCCATATCTTTAATGTCCTTATTAGTTTTTTGATTAGCATATAGAGTAATGAGTCTTGTTGGGCATTTTCATGGTATACATCATTCTGCTTTTTTTATTCACTCTCTTTGTGCCTGCCTCCTCTTGCTGGCTCCTTTCCTCCCTCTACTTTCATGTGATGCATATTCCAGTACCTTCTCTTCTTCCCTCTACCTTCTCAAGAGCTCTTCCTCCCCCTTTATGATGGTCCCCTGTATACATTCATGACCCCAGTCACATGTATGTAAACATGTACTTAAATTTAAATCTAGATTTCATGTATGAGAGAAAACAATATTTGTGTTAGTCTAGCTTATTTCACTTAGCATAATGATCTCCATTTCCATTTGGTTAGATTTTTTTTTTTTTTTCCGAGACAGGGTTTCTCTGTGTAGCTTTGCGCCTTTCCTGGGACTCACTTGGTAGCCCAGGCTGGCCTTGAACTCACAGAGATCCGCCTGGCTCTGCCTCCCGAGTGCTGGGATTAAAGGCGTGCGCCACCACCGCCCGGCCCATTTGGTTAGATTTTTAAATCTGGGACGAGATGGGGAATATGGTTAGGACCTTTCCTCTAGTAGGCTGCTGTCATCCAGGGCCACACTTTGTGTAAGATCTTCTGTTTCCAAGTATCTGTGTCTTGGCACGCCCAGGGCTTTGGCCTTCAACCCTCTCCCTGCACTCCATGTGGCTTTAACTGTGTGCTGCATAGCCTTGGGTATGTATGCCAGGCTGGACCTCCACTAAACTGCAGCCTTGCTTGAGCCTGCAGATCAGGCACCTCAAATGTGAGGCTGAACTGAGCCCTCCCTTTCCTGCTGCTCTCTTCCCTGAGACTCCCCCATTTTAGCCAATAGCTATGTACTAAATGGCCTTTCATTTACTCCTTCATTCAGTCAAATTCTGGGCCCATCCTCATGCCCTGGATCTGACTGACTGGAGAATCCCTTCAGAATTTGTTTGGCCACTGCTTACCACCAACACCAGCCCAGGCTCACACCCTTACCTGGACTACTGCAGAAGCTCCAGATGGGTCCCTCTTTCTGCCCTTGCTGCGTCTTTACCCTCCACCCACAGCAAAGCCCACACACTCCTGGTCTCAGTGATACTGTTAGAAGAAAGTCCGTTTTGCTGCAGCTCAGGCTCTGTGTGATCTGTGCTCATGTACTCACACCATAGCTCACTGCACTCGGACACATCTGCTGTGCTAGTTGTGCTTTGAAGCCAGGTGTGTGCCTGCCTAGTCTTCCCACTTTGTTTTTCTTCCTCTGGAATGGTCCCTCTCCTAGATGTGTTCATGTCCCTTCTCTATTGGGATAAGACTCATAGACCATAAAACATGCTCTGTTCAAGTTGACAGTAGTCTTAGTGTATTCATTTAGGCAGGCATCCATCTTCACATCTAGTCTTTCATCATCCCTCGAAGAAACCTCGAACTCAGACAACTCTTAATGCTCCCACAACTCGCCAGCACGTGCTGTGTCTCTAGATGTGTGCCTGCTGTGGGTGTTTTGTAAGTGGAATCACATACACTTTTGTCTGGCTGCTTTCACTATGGCATCATCCACGTCATGGCATGTATTGCTGTTCTTTTCCTTTTTTCAGCTGATTAATACTCCAGTCTGAGGTTGTACCATGTTTTTGCTTATAATTCAACAACAGCAGATGGGCATTTAGGTTGCTTTTGCATTTGTGAATAATGTTCCATGGACACTAGTATACTTTCATAAGAACACGTCTATGTTTTATTTATTTATTTATTTTTTTGAGACAAGGTCTTTATGTAGCCCTGGCAGTTCTAGAACGGGAACTCACAGAGATCCGCCTGCCTCTGTCTCCCCAGTGCTGGGATTAAAGGCGTGCGCCACTGCACCCAGCTACAGTGTACCCATTTGTATTCTCAGTTCTCTGGTCTGTCTGTATGGAAATAAAAGTACTGGGTTATATAATGACTTGTTTAAGCGTTCCCATTCCCCCAGAGTGTAGGAGGTGCTGTACCTGCTCTCCCAGCCCGCCTCTACTTAACTTCACATCACTTAGCACAAGCTTCTGTCTGTCCTCGTGCTTTTACCAACTGGCCCTTCCGTTTTGAGAAATGGGCCTTGCCTTGTTTGCTGACATAGCCCAGCCCCATGGGGTGCCTGGGACCTTTTGAGTTGGAATGTAGTGCTGTCAGCTTTCTCATGGAGCCACTTCTGATTTTTGTTTAAACCATATAAAATTTGTTTTTTGAAAGTGTTTAAGACATTAACTTAAATAGGACTGATTCCCTTTTTTAAAGTTACTGATTTTTAAATTGTATTTATGTATATGTGCCTGCTTGTCTGTATGTGCATCCTGTGCATGCAGAGACCAGAAAAGGACATCAGATGGACTGACTGGAACAGAGGTACAGGTGGTTGTGAGCCATGTGATGTTGGTGCTGAGAACCAAACCCAGATCCTGTGCAGAGCAGCAGGTGACCTTAACCACTGACCTTGCCTGCTCGCCAGTCCTAATGCCCTTTTGCATAGAAGTCACTGTTGCCTGCCCTAGTGCTAAGTGCTGGAATTACAGATGGGCTACACTGCAGCCAGCTTGCTTTTTCCATCTTTCTTTTTTTAAAACAAATAACATGTAGAGATAATTTTATAATTGAATTAACATGGAGCCTTGTAGAGCTTTCTGTGCCTGTGTAAATGACATCCACCTTTAGAGACCTCACTGCCCTCCTGTGTGCTGTGCAGTGTGTAGTGTGTGTGTGTGTGTGTGTGTGTTTCTGTTTTAGAAGTTTTGAAGATTCGAGTATGACGAGAGAAGCCATGACACTGGAGTGTTTAAAGAGGCGGCAAAGAAGGGTTGATATTAAAGCAGTGATGTCCTATTTGAATATTTGCTACTTCAAAAGTGAAATCAACTCCTCAAAAGCTTAGAAGACAAAATTCATCTCATAGTGGTTTTGTAAATTTGGTTGTTAAGAAGGTTTTAATTCCCACAGCCTTAGGCCTTTCAGACAGTTGAGTGCTGTGGGCATCAAGATCTGGGGTGCTAGTCAAAGCAGCCCTTCTTGGTCAGATGTGACATGTGAGATGAGCGCAGCATTGGCAGCAACCTTTCCCCGAGCTGGGACCACGGGAGGAAAAGCCCTTAGACAGTGGGGACTAAGAGCACACGAAGGTTGTCTCACAGCCACGCCATGATTTTTGTTTCTCCATTTTAACTACTCAGCCCTTCCTTAGTTTTATCTCGCATGTTGCAAAGCACCTTCCTATGCTATCACATGCAGCTTTTTTATTAAAATTCTTGCCATAAAGCGGGGCTCACGCATTTAGAACTCTCCTGTTTGGGAGGCAAGGCTCTGCCTACCTGTCAGTTGACGCTTATGTAGTGACAGGCTTGGGGCTGTGGGGAAGGACTGAAAGCTGGGGTGCCCTTTGTTTTCCACTTACTGCTTCACTGCCAGTAGATGGCACCAGAGACTCTTCTTCCTGATGGCAAGTCCTAGTTGGCATCACTAATCCATTCCTTCATCACCAGGAAAGGAAATTGCTGTATTCCTTAGTCTTGGTCTCCGATGTTTATGTAATTGGTTTTTTTGTCTGTTTGTTTGTTTTGTTTTTTGCTTTTTGTTTTTTGGAGTTGAATTTAAACTTGTCGGTGCTTAAATTACTTGCATTATTTGCTCTCTCTATCTTGGGTTTCAAACTCTGACCACCCTTTTAAAAAGAAATGTGTGACTTTTCAGTTGGAGCAATTATGGGAGAAGAATTATTATCCTGAAATAGGACTAGGTTGAAATAAATTGTTGAGAGCAAAAGAGAAAGACTGAGCCAGGCAGTGATGGCACATGGCTTTGTTCCCAGCACTTAAGAGGCAGAAGCAGGTGGATCTCTGCGAGTTCGAGGCCAGCCTGGTCCATGGAACTAGTTCTAGGACAGCCAGGGATGTTATACAGAGAAATCCTCTCTCAAAGGAAAAAGAGAAAGACTGAAAAAAGTGAAACTTGGGAGGACATATAAAAGTGCAAAACCCAAGATGTTAAAATGGCCAAGAGAGGGCATTTTTAGGAATATTAAATTGTTTACTATAATAGCTGCTCACATTACTTTAATTTTTTAAATTTAACAAACAGCATGCAATTTAAAAATGTCTCAAATGGTTTCTTTCCCCATTCTTACTTACAAGTTCTGTGCCTTTGTGAAAAACTGCTTTCAGTGTGTGTCAGCATAGAGCTCTGGATTGGATCCTTGCACATGCCAGGCAACATTGCCACCGAGCTGCACCCCAGTCCATTGTGTGTTACCCACAGTTTGAATTGTGTTCTATGACTGTCTGCAATTCTGTGTACCTGCCATGGGTTTTTTTGGTTCGTTTTTGTTTTGTTTGTACAACTGCAAATCAGATTTGCCAGGCCAGTTGTGAGTGAGACAGCAAGGGTTCAGGTCTTTCCCCAAGCTAAAGAAGAACAGGAAAATCACTTGTCTCTTAGCCTCTTTCTTCATGTGAAAAATGTAGGTAAGGATGACAACCCCTTGGGGTTGTCCTGAGGGATGGAAAGTGTAGGTAGATCACCTGACATGTGTGTACAAAGAAAGCTAACACTGCATACTAACATCACTAGGAAGTTTCATTTAAAAATCCCCTGTTCATTTCAATTTTCAGAGTTCTTAACCTATAGCTTTGTTCTTGCCTTTTAAATTGGAGATATAGACATTGCACTTTGGGTCTCGAATGATCTATCATTTCAAAAATAGTGATTGCTCAAGGACCTATGTTTGTGAGCTTTCCAGTGGGTGCCGGTGGAGCACACACCGTTTGGGGGCTGACGAGAGGCCTGTTCAGGAGTGTTTTCCTCTGGGATGGAAGGTTCAGCCTTCAGGTTCAGCCTTACTCTATAGGCACCGGGCCATTCGGTGCGAGTGTGGTCTAAGGGAGCCAGCCGTTCTCCCCCGCCTCCCTCCCGGGGTGGGAGCTACGTGCCACCACCATCTGTCGGAGGTCCCCAGCTAGGCCTGAAGTTCTCCCCAGAGACAGTGGGCAACAGGTCTGCGGCCAGTGGGCGGGGCTCCGCCCGTGCCCTCCTGCCTCGTAGCCAATCGGCTGCTTGAAAGTGGGCCGCCGCTTAGGCAGAGCGGTGACGTCATCGTAGCCGGGAGGTTTCCGAGGGCTCGGCCAATGAGGCGCGGGTGCAGTGGCATTCCCTGTACTGTGCTTGCCCAATGCCCGCAGAGCCCAAGGGGAGGCAGCAGGAGCACGAGGCGGAGTTGCGAGTCCTACGGCCAATGGGGTGTAGGGGGCGGAGTCCGGGCCTTGTCAAGCCCGGCCAACCAGCGGGAGGAGCGGGCTTCTGGGGCGGGGCCTCGGGCACTTGCCCAATTGCGACGGTCTGGAGGCGGGCTGTGCTGCGGGCAACCCAATGAGGGGCACCGCCGCCGCGGGCCTGTCAAGGGACGGGACCGGGGGCGGGCGGCGGCGAGTCGGGATAAACACTCAGCGGCCGCTGCTGGGATCCGGGCTCCGTGCCGTCCCAGCGCTGCCCCTCCTGGCTGGCCAGCGCGGCGGCTTTTCGGCGTTCCCGGCCAGCGGCCCGCGGGCACGGAGAGGCGGCCCGCCGGGTGCAGGATGGCGACAGCCGTCGGGATGAACATCCAGCTGCTGCTGGAGGCGGCCGACTACCTGGAGCGGAGGGAGAGAGGTGCACGGCGGGCTGCGGGCCGGGCGGGCGGCCGCTGGGGTGGTTGGGGCGCGGGCTGGCCGCGAGCGCCAACCCCCGGGCCCGCGCCCCAAAAGGCGAGCGCGGGGGGCGGCGAGCAGCTGGAACCTTCCACACCTGCTCCGAACCGAGGGCGTCCACGCCAGGAAAGAGCAGGCATTGTTCTCAGAATTCCGCCTGCCTGCGCCCGCCCGGTGCCCGGACTCCGACAGACAAACGGACGCGGGGACAGGGTGTCAGATGCTCTGGGCCCATTCATTAACGGGACCCCTCGGTTTTCTAGAAGCTGAACATGGGTATGCCTCCATGTTGCCGTACAGTAGCAAGGACAGAGATGCCTTCAAACGGAGGAGCAAGACCAAGAAGAACAGCACCAGTAGCAGGTAACTGTTCAATGTTCCCCTTCTCTGTAGCTAACACGACTGATTGTTAGTTGACTGCTGGGATTCTAGCCCTATAGATACATTGAGGGTCCGGTAATACACACACATGGTGCTAAACAGCCCTTCTTCTTAAGTTGAAAAAACTGAGGAGAAAGTAAGATTGTCTTACATTTCATTATGACCTTTTTTTTAAAAAAAAAAATTCTAATCTTCACCCTCTGAACAAAGCAAAACTCCATGGGGCTAGCAGCTGGGTCACTACTTCTGCCTTCTTTACAAGCAACAGAGTTCCCACGTTTCCTTTCATTCAAACTGCAGCATGTTATCGGTTGATTTTGCTGGTCATAGTGAAGATTTTATAAACGAGGTAGCTGGCCTGACACAGGTGGTAGAAATGTATATTTAACGTGTAAATTAAATGCAGTAGTTTGTCTGATAACCCAGTTGTGGCCTCTGTTTCTGATGCCTGAGCAGAGTGATTGAGGTTAAAGCACACTTCAGGGAGAAGGTAGGTGCGTGCTGCGTTAGGATGTCAGCGAATTCCAGCCTTTTCTTGTTAGCCTTCCGATTGCCTCAGTCCTCAGAAGCTGTCGGTTTCACCACGGTGCTTAGTTAATGACTGGGAGCTCACAGCCCCTGATCCACAACAACATGTCACCTCTGTCACTGTCCCATGTCCCTCTCCTTGCCCTTAAAATACTGGTTGGAGCTGGGCATGGTGGTGTAAATCTTTGATCCCAGCACTCAGGAAGCATGTGGAGCTCTGTGAGTTGGAGGCCAGACTGGTCTACATTGCAGAGTAGCTACATATGAGACTACAGGGCTACTTAGTGAGACCCTGTCTCAAAAAAACAAAAACAAAACCCTAACTAGTTAGTAGGAGTCCATGTTACTAGGGCCATTCAATTTAGGCTATGTCTAAAATCATTGACATTTTCATCAGCAATTTAGAATCCTAATACCTCCCCCCTCATGAATAACTTCCCACGAGCACATAGATTGCCACGTAGGGTAGCCGCTGTGGCTTAGTACAGACCACTAACCCAGGAAGTGCCTACTCACACCTACAGTTCACCCACCTTGTCCTTGGTTCACCCGTCCACAGCCCTGAGTGTTGGACTCACAGACTGGGCCGCACACTGCACCACGCTCCTGACTGAGGCACCAGGAGGGTGGACCTGACCCAGTAATTACCTGGTGGGTTTTTCTCGTCCTCTCATCTAGCATAGGCTGATGATGGTAGTCAGTAGTGCTGCACAGGGCACTACAGCCTTTTAAGGAGGGTGTTCACACCGACGTGAGTCAACAGTGGCGTCAGAAAGGGCTTCACTGCCGTGGTGTGCTGTTTGTTTTGTTTCTGTACTAGTGTGTTCTTCTGCCATATCACCACCACTCCTGAGCTGGGGGGGATCGTCCACCTTACTAGTCTTATACTTTAATGCCTTAACACTCCTTTTTTCCTGCTTTTTAGAAGGTTGCTGGTGGGTTGAGCAGTGGGGACTAGAAAGGCTTTGTGAAATGACTTGGTCCCAGAAGGATGATTAAAAAAGCATAGTGAGAGCTTACATGCTAAGCTAATCACCAGAGTCCTTCTCCTGCCGATAGCCTGCAGCACTCCTGGACAGTGGCTACAGATCCTGCGTTTGTAAAATGGGAAAACCCTCTGTCAAGAGGCTGCTTCCTCTTCCTAGAGAGCCGGCCGTCATAGCTGTCTGTGCACTGCACTAACAGTGAAGGGGTGTGATGCAGTCAGTGTGGGAAGGAGCCCTCAGGGTCCAGGGTTCAAGTCCAAGCAGGGAGTTTTTTGTAGGCATGGTCTCTCCCATGGCTGTTGGCATATCCTTCACCTGAGGAGTGAGAGCCATCAGAGAGCAGCTGGACACCAGTCAGAGTCAGCCTTCTGCCCAGGGCCATGTGACCATGAATTTGAAATGAAAAGGCCAGGGAGATACTGCTAGTTCACAGAACTCTTTGACAATAACATGTTCAGGTTGAAATATTATGTATGCTCTTTGCTTGTGGAGTCTGAGGAAATACTTTGCCTTGGACAATAAAAAACAAGATTCGGCCTTTTTTTCAAACTTATTGCTTTTGTCAAAAAATTAATAATAATAATAATAATAATAATAATAATAATAATAAAAAGTATAGTGAATGTCAGTTGCTTTGGAATCATCCAGAGAACTACTGGATTAAAAAGACAGGCTCTTTCTTTCCTACTGGTTTTTAAAATCACTTAGTTATTATTTAGAATTGAAATTGAGAGCTTTGTTTTTCTTGTTTTTGTTTGCTGTTGTTTTTAAAGAAAAACATCTCTTGGCAGAAGATAAGACCTCAGTGATAGAGTGCTTGTCTAGCATGTATGAGGCCCAGGGTTCAGTCCCCAAAGGTAAAGACAGTCCTGTTGCCCAGGCTAGCCCAAACTCCTGGGTCTCACGTTCTTCCTGTCTCAGCTTCTTAGGTAGCTAGAACTCTGTAACATGCCTCTGCCTGTAATAGAGTTTTTAGAAGTGTATTTCGTTAACTTGAGTAAAACAGGCTCTGCCACTGACGGGAAAGAGGAAGTCTGGGACTTGGTCACTGAACTATTTTATAAGGAGTGGCTGTGAAGGCGACCTAACATGAGGCGGCTTTCTGACGTACTGCATTAGGCTGTGTTATCTATCTTTTTATTGGAGTATGCTGTTATAGGGTAGGATTGACCTTATGGCCATTCCAGAGTCCTTGGTGACTGCACTGAAATGGTTTGACATAGAAAGTGTCTATGCGTTCTCCCATGCCTTAATTAGAATCTTGTGCTCACCCTTCAGTGGGCTGGCTGCTTCTTATTAATGACTAACTCAGTCAGCAAGCCAAGCACACTTCAGGTACACCTTACATGGCTGCCCCCCTTTAAAAGGCACCATGTGTTCAACACTCTTAAGCAATCAAGTAAAACCTGTCATTTCTAAAACTTGAGTCAAAAATTACAAAGAGTTACACTTCCTGCAGGATTTGTAGATAAAGTTTGTCCTGGGGATCCAGTTTTGGTTTTTTGTTTTGTTTTGTTTTTTTCATGTAAATAGAAATTGTCAGTCTGTCTGTCGGTAGATCTTTAAAGGATCCAGAAGAGTACCCCAGATGCTCTTTCTCCTCCCAGTCTTCAGGGACAAGGTGGGGGCGCTACTTCTCTGTAGTTAAACAGGGAAGTCTTAACCAACTCTATTTAAAAAAAACAAAACAAAACAAAACAAAAAAACCTATCAGACTTTGAACTTAGAATTCCCAGTTGAAGGTAAAATGCCACGTGTTTGAAGCCACGTGTTTGCAGTTCAGGCCAGATTCTTGTTAACGGAGGGTCCCTGCCAGTCCCTGAAAGACTTAAACCAAACTGATGGAGAACCCAGGAAACCAACCGAAAACTGGTTTAGAGGTCCTAAAAACAAAACTTTAAATGCATTATTATTATTATTATTATTATTATTATTTTCTCATTTGTTTCCCTCATGAATAGAAGTTAATCTTCTGGGGCTTATAGCAAGAGAAGTTTGTTTTTATCACTTCTGTATTTGTGTGTGTGTGTGTGTATGTGTGTGTGTGTGTGTGTGTGTGTGTGTGTAGGTGCATGTGCGCCACAGTCGGCCTATGGAGATCAGAGGACAACTTTCAGAAGTTGGTTCTCTCCCTCCACCAAGTGGGTCCTGGGTATCAAACTTGGGTCATCAGGTGTTGAGGCAAGCACCTTGATCTGCTGAGCCTTCTCACCAATCTCTAGAAGAGAAAATTTAGTGCTGGGCTAGAAATCTCCTGTTGAAGACACCCCTCTACACCCATATAGATACACACACTATCCCTGATCTGTGAGTGAACCTGCCAATGATACCATGCATGGCTGAGCATTCGCCATGGCCGCCATGAGACCTTACCTCCTGGGCTTACAGAATTCACAACCAGAGCCAGTTAGATTCCACAGAATTCCACATGATAAGTCCAGATTCAGGCTTTTCCAAAGATGGGCTTCTTCACATTTATGCCTGGACATAGAGAAGCTGCGTGCAGATGTGGAAGGAATAGTGTTGACTCTGATTACTGTGGAGCCCTGTCCATGGAGTCCAAGGCAAGGTCAGCTATAAACACAAATCATGGGCTTCTCACCCAGCATGCCTTTCATCCCAGCCTTGCCAGTCCCTTTTATGGTTGCTTCCTCATGGATCTGCACTCATTTAGTAGATTATCGGCAGTTTTGTATTCCCATTTAACAGAGGGGTTAACCAAGGACTTGATAGTAAAATCATTTCATCTCCACACCGTGGAGGGCAAAGGTTGCCTTTTTTCATTCCAACTCCTGCTTTACCAGACATTGTCTTCTTCGTGTTGAATTTGCAAACTGCCGCTTTACTTCACTGCTGTGGGGCAGCAGCGGCTTTCCTGAGGTTGGGCATGAGGCATTTAATTTAGGGAGCTGAATTGAGGAGGAGTTATTTTACCAGTTGAAATAGGATTTTGTACCCAAACAGCATCACATTTTAGTATATGCTGCCCTTAGGAGGTAGGGCGGGGGTATGACACCACCCCATGACTTTACAGATAACATAAAGAAGGCTTTGTAGTGTTATGCAACTCCAGGGCACAGCACACTGTACAACTGTGTTTTGTAAGTGACCCTCTTCCTTCTTATAAAAGACTGCATGCCTCTTAACAAGTCACTGGAGTTCCTTGAGCTATATTTAGTGTTTTGTTTGCATATATGTCACATATATCATATATGTAACTGGTGCCCACAGAGATCAGAAGAGGCGATCAGATCCCCTGGAGAACTGGAGTTAGAGACAGTTGTAAGCTGCTATGTAGGTGGTAGGAATTGAACCCGGGTCCTCTGCAAGAACACCAAATGCTCTTAGTCACTGAGCCACCTCTCCAGCCCCTTGAACTGTATTTTAGAGACTTTGAGTTATCCGACCCCCCAGGTAGACTCCCTTAGAAGAACCCAAGGAGTCCCCCATCTACCTCCTCTCCACCAGCTTTGTAGAGGAGTTACAATGGGGTGAGGGAGATGGCTGTATAGGTGATGTGCTGCTGCACATCATGAGGGGCCTGACATCCGTGTAGAACTGGGACTTGGGAGCAGACATCTCTGCCCCCAGCACAGTGGGTATAGAACAGCCCTCGGGCTCTCCGGCCATCAGTCTACCTAAGCAGAGCTCCAGGTTCACTGAGAGGCCTTGTCTTAGTATGTAAGATGGAGAACAGTACTAAAAAGATGCTAACATTGCCCTGTGGCTTACACACACACACACACACACACACACACACACACACACACACACACACACGTTCAGTTACATTGGTGTTGAAG